ATGGAAATACCAGAAATTTTTTAAACAAAAATTTTTACTTAGGGTGATGAAACACTGAAACAGGTTTCAGAGGTTATAGTCACCATCCGTGGAGATACTCACGACCAGACTGGACATGGCTAATATCAAGCTATTCTAGCTGACCTTCCTTTGCACAGAGGTTTGACTATATGCACAAAGGTTTGACTAAATAGTCTTCAGATGTCCTTCCTCCATCTTCAATGATGACTTCACACAAACAATTTCAAAGACACTTGGCCAAACTGGTTTCCTTTCAATGCGTTGTCACTTGGTCAGATCTGAGTCTGATTGAAGGAAAGGACCAAATGCACCACTTATAATGAAAGCAAATTTCAGGTTCCCCTTTACTTTATATGTGATACAGGAAAACATTTGCTGATAATATTGTTAGAAAACCATGAGCCTGAACTGAGATCTTTACACAGTGCTGATGAGAAACTGAAACAGCTAATGCCAATGCATTTATTTATACATTTAAGCATTATTAAGCAGGTATTTAAACAGAGATAGTGTAGACTATGCAATGCTGCAGCAGACTCAAATGAATTGGTGCAGGTGGTAGCCAACCTCTGTATATTCAAATTTAGATTTCAGAAGTAGTTGGTCTTATTCCAGCAGGAACATTGTTCATTTGAAAACAAGAGTTAATATCTGCCTTAACGGAGCCTCGAATTTTTGCTGTAACCCATTTGTTACATTTGCCATTGCACTGGTAGCCTAGGAATATGGAGAAATGTACACCCCTTTCAATGTCTGGCAGTAGGAAAGAATTAGAAATGTGACCTAAAGTGTGGTATTCTCAGCTCTGCGGAGCTCTGTATGAATTAGAAGAGGAAATAAGTTATATAGTGCCTGAACTTAATTAGTTAAAGCTGTTCATACTGTTAATGTCCTGAAATGAGGGTTTCATGTTGACTGTTCTCTCTGTCAAAAGTGCTGGGACCAAGGTTACTTTGCCTAGAGTATCTTCTGATCAGCAGAAATTGCTCTGAGTACAAATGCCAGGATTCATTAACATTCTTCGTCTTACAGTGTCCATCATGTAGAGGTCTTCAAAGTCATCAATAAAGAAATTAAATATTTAACAACATACAACTTAACATCAGTAAAAGAAAATATCTACTGCCATTTTCCTGCTGTAAATACCTGTGCTAGAATATTAGAAAAAGGTGAGGGAGCAAGAATGTTTCCCCTTCTAAAATTTTTCTCATCATTTTAGCTTTTAACTAAAATTCAGAGAAAATGATACTACATGGTATACAGTATACCCATGGAATTAGTATATGGAAATCAATATTAAAGCATTAGAAGACTCTTGGATTTTTATTACTGGTATGTATGTGAAAATAAAAAATCAACATTTTTAAGGTAGCAAATATATTTAAATGAATTATTAGTGACACATTTAATTTTGACAGTCCCAAATATCCCAAATGATGCACACATGGGAAAAATATGATTATGCAACTGAATAAAATTCTATATATTTGTTAAAGCCAAAAAAATTACTGAACTTTAAACACCTGATATTTCAGTAGAAGCAAACATATTTGCTATAAAACTTTCTTTACATCCAGATGCTTTTATTCCTTCTGAAGAAACTGATAATTTAACTCCTTCACAGGCAACTGTAATTTAGTGTCTTTATCAGCAGCAATTTTTTAACTCTGACATTTCTACCACACAGCACTAAGCAGCCATCACATACATAAGAAATCTAATACTTGTTTTGTCCTCAGTCCTAAAGATGGACATCTCCTGTTCCATCTCTTCTGATATAATATTAGCTATTGACTCTTCATGCTGGATCTGGGAATAAAAGTACAAGAAATAGAGCTTTTCTCAGTGTTCTGGTGATCTAGAACTCCATGGATGCTTTGGTACATGAAGAACATTATTTACAGTGACTGGTTGTACTGGCCAGGCTGGCAATGCTTACTGAGCAGGTGAAAATGAAACCAATTTCATTTATTCAGCAGCATGTTGCACTTACTACCTGTTGCAAGCAGTACTATACAGCCACTCAAGAGAAAACATGGCAAGACTTCTTTTCAACAAAACCTGCTTTTGGGGTGGTAACAGCCCTCTACCCATTTCCTTATTGTATTGTAAAGGTTCAACACAGCCCTGTTGGACTCAATGGAGGTTATACACATTTGCATCAGTAAAGGATCTGGCTGCAACTATTTAGTGATCAACAGCAGCTCAAGTATATTCTAAAGAACTTGTTTGTTTTGCATTCTCCCGACTTTGAAAACTGTTCAGTTCATGTATAAAAACTTGCTCTGTTCTGGAACATGGATCTATTTGCAAGAGGTGACTCATGCTTTTGCTGGGGACAGAATTAAAAGAAAAACAAACTGAACTTAAGTTAAAAAGGAAATAAATACACTGGCAGACAGAAGTAAAAGGCTCACTGATGTCACGCCATTAAGTCCTAGAGAATCACTCTATCATTCTGCTGCCTGAGCATAGGATTCTTTCCTTTCTTCTTAATCTCACTTTCTGGACATTCTCCAGCTTACTTGATTCACCTCTCAACTTGTTGCCTCTGTCAATCTTTAGAAAAATAAGCCCTTTGGATTTTTTTTCCTTTCTTCTTGTTGCCAAGGATTCTGTTTAAAAAGCATGCTTGCTTGACTTTCAGGAATTTGYACCAATATAGAATAGCGATGAGTTACAGCATGTCCAAGAAATGCACACACTTCCAAGCACAGAAAGAACTGATGGCTAACAAGGCAGCTATGGTATTACCATGCATAAATTGCACCATTTCCTTTTTATCAACAATAAGTTTTATAAATATTTAGTTGTATTTGTTTGAAACTAACCAAGATCCTAATAAGCCTAACAAACATTTCGGTATGTGTTATTAAGTAAAATATTACAAGCCAGGTGGATATGAAACCTATGTGTGGAAAGTTAACAAAGTCCTGCTTAAAAACAGTACTGCAAATGATTTCAGTAGAAGTAAATTTTCATGGTAATCCTCACATTAATTAGGAATGCTGTCAAACATTAACTTTCAAGGCCATGTCTACGTATTTTATATTCCAAAATTTCTCTCTAAACTTAAGCATAAATCAGATTTTCAGTCTTTTGGGGAAAGGAGGAGAAGAGATTGAGAAAGAAGCAGCCTTCCTTTTTTGCATCACCTAGGACAGCAACCTGTGCCTTCTACAAAGTGGAATTACCCTAGGTGTCTCACTTGGCTAAGGTTTGTCCCCATGTCTTGTCCTGGAACTATCCTTCCCCATGCAATTTACTAAACATTTCCAGCAGAAATTCTTGCTCCTGAACAACCCAGATCCCTGGACCCAGCTTGAAATTAGATTAATATCCTCATCCACCATTATTTTATTGCTGAATGAAGTGCTCTCAGACTTCCTTTCCTGACACTCAGAGACTCACTGAAGAACAAATTTTTTTGAAAAAGTCCTTTCAGTTGTTTTTTTTTTTTTTTTTCAAGTTTAACTTTCCTGATAGAAATTTTCACTTAATATGCCACCTGCTTCATATTTCATGACGAGAATGCTGCTACACGGTATCAGATGAAATTGTGGTGATCAGAATAATATACCTTAGTTTGTCTCCCCTCATGTCAGAAACTACTGGGCAGGTACGGTGGGCAGAACATTTTTCAGAAGAGATATTCTTACTGCACAGATGTAAAACCCTTTGCTATTTCATTTGGGTCTTTGGCAGGGAGAGAAGGCCAAGACTCTGTCAAATAAGTAGCTACCATCAGAATATGGATTTACCCAGCAGATCATTTCTTTGCCAGGCCAAGAAATTCTTGGATGGCAAAAAGCAGGGTGCAAGCCAGGTGAGTTACCTTGGCAGCCTGGGATATAATCCATAGACTATTACATCACTACATTTATCTAAGTGTAAAGTTATGCAGCGAGTACAAACAAACAGCTGTGTATAGATAAGCTTGCTAAAAGCTAACAAGATCTTTCCCTTTTTGCCGTACTCAGAACTTCCTAATTTTTCCATTGTCTAAATGATATAAAATATTCCATACTTTAGTACTACAACTTACAAAAATTTGTTTTGCTTTTCATTACTCTTACGGAAATTCAATTTTTCCTTCTAAAATAGAACCTATTAAATTAAGTGTTGTGCAGAAAAAAAAAAAACCCAAAACCAACCCAACTTTCCTACCCAAAATACATCAACATGAATTTTCTGCGTTGTCATATTTCACCTGCTACTTCTATCCTTGAAGATAACTACATTTCATTCAGACTGCTTGATGTCAGATCAAATCTTGCCCAGGAAGGGTTTCAGGGAAACAAATTGCTCATGCATAAAAACATGCATTACAGGGTATCTCAGGCTGCCAGAATTTTACTTGTTTTGAGTTTCAGGGTACTAAACTACATCCAGAAGCAAGTCCTAAAGACAGACTGTTTCAATTTTTCAGTGAAAGTGTGGTTCAATTCTTAAGAAATTTTGTTTCATGGGTGACAGAGTAGTTCAGCTCCACCTTTCAGGTGAGCAGGTTCCCCCCACTGGCTTGCTGGCTGGGGTTAAACAACAACACATGGCTTTAAAAACAAAACATAATCCATTGAAAAATCAAAACAACTTTGAAGCAACCCATTGTGAACAACACTTAATCTTGTTGTGCTCTGTGCCAACAATCACTCTGGAAAATATTTTGAGGATAATAAGCCCAGCTGTGAATTAGACAGTAATTTAGGATTCTGTTCCCAAATTATATTGTGAGTTACGAAGACTTCATAGAATTGAAGAAATCAAATATGGAAGTCCCAATAGGTTTTCTATAGAAAGAAAATAAAGCTGATAAATTGAACCAAGATGGACAAATGGAAAAATTGTAACTATTCACAAAAAAAAAGAACTGTCCTATTATTCTTTAGTGGGACATTTTCAAGCCACCATTTAAGATTAATCCATCATCAACAGAAAAGTTTCATGTAGAGAAGAACTTATAGCAAAGTCACCATTACCTTTCACAGTGAGACGGTCAATTGTCTTCAAATATTTTGCCACCAGTCATTCAAGTTATTGGTCTAAAAATCTCTGATCCTTGTTGCCAAACACCATTTTTAGATACACCTCAGCAAAACGCAACACTCCAACTGTTAAACAAACATTATGGTGTCTATTTTAGAGTCTTTCAAAGGCAATGTACAACTAAAGGAATCCTGGTAAAGAGGAGAGACAACAACATGAAGGTAAAATTGGTGTGTCCTTTGCACATTTTCCTCCTTGTGTATTCTTGCTGTCTCTGCTATTACTGCTCACGCTAGAATGTAGTTACTAGCAAAGGCAAGAGAAGTAATCCCGAGACCTAGGCAGAGTCCATTACTTTCTAAACAGGTAATGAAATATATTCTAGAGATTTTATCTGTCAGAATAACGCATCACCAAACCTTTCTTTTCTGTTATGAAATTTATACAAAAATAGTCTTTAATTGCAATGTAAATATTTTTAATCAAGCACAAACAATTGTAACTATGAACACCAAATTTTGTCCCTCACTTGGTGTTTCTATTGGCTCCTGAAATCCTGTACATGCTGAAAGGTCAGGCTATCAAAAACTTTGTCACAGGGCAATACAACCAGTTATTGCTCTTAAGAAGAGTCACTTGTGGTATGAAAAGGTCAAGCTGAAAGTGACATGTTTGAGGGCAACCATCCTTTTCAACCAACTTTTACTAAAAAATTAAGCTGGACAGAATACAGTAGATTCTTCAGTTAAAGCAGAAGATGCACAAATGCAGCTTTCTATTGAAGCTATATTACTGAAAAGTAAAGAATCTCCAAGTCCACATTAACCAACTCAGAAACAATTATTTTAAACTTATTTGGTATCAACGAAACCAAAACAGCTATGGAGAAAGACAACAGAGAGTCTACTTTCTTGCCAAAAAAAAAAAAAAAAAAAAAAAAAAAAAAAAAAAAAAAAAATAATTAAAAAAAAAAAAAAAAAAAAAAAAAAAAAAGGTAAAAATGCTGGTAAAACAAATAACAAAATGTAAGAAAATGTTTTGCTTTGAGAAGGGAACACACCCTGAAAAGATAGTAGAATTTCTAACCTCCCGCAAGCATGTTTAAAAGGTGACCTCTGTAATTTATGCTTATCCTAGTCCCAGGAAAGATGTAAAAGTTCCCTATTTTTGTGCTGGGTCAGGGAGAAGGGGTATTTGTTGCAAATCATTTATTGCTATGGGAAGGCATCTGGGCATCTCAAGCACTACACATTTACCTCTGTTCTGAACTGTTCTCCAGGACAGGACAGCTGAGGGCAGCAATAGCTCCTTTTCATAAGCTCTGCTTTTCTATAGCTCTGAGTCATTCATAGACTGCTGCCTCCCCGACAGACAAGGACAGACCTCCAAGGCTGGCTCACAGCTTGCTACCTGCCCCAATGAAGCCCTTAAGGACATAATGTAGACAACAGATTGTTCACTCAGCTCCTTTTCAGACAAAAATCTCTGGATAAGGAAAGCAATATGTCCCAATTTAAAAAAAAAAAAAAAAAAAAAAAAAATCTGAAACAAAACCATTGCAACTCTTCCTACTGACTGCTGTATTATCAACTATGTCTGTGGTCACTGAAGTTGCCTGAGCAGGAGTGAGTGTAGGTGTGCTCACAAGCCTCCTGTATGAGCAGGATTACCATAGCAATTGCAGCTCCCAGAAGCACTGTCTTCAGACATTTAAAGATAAACCTGGTTTGGGTGGAACAAAAATATAGCAGTGCATGCCAAGATCACAGCAGTCCAGAGTGCATCACACCAGGGAAAGTCAAGATTAACACCTCACAGGTCATTTCTCCGTTTCAATAAACTGTGTCAGTACCTGCAATTCAGAATCTAGATCTATAAACACAGCATAGCTGAGTACTTGCACAATAGAGAGATCTCTTCAAAATAGTGCTGTTAAGAACACTGAAAAGTAAAAATCAGTGACTGGAACAGGTGACAGATCCCATCTTTACCTGTTGTTACAGACAAGCACCAACATCTTAATTACTAAGAGAATTCTAAACAACCACAAAAAATAACTTAATGTAAAACAATATAATCTTTCAACTGCTAAAACAGGAAACACAGCATCTCTAAAAACAAATAAATCCATGCAGTTATGAATTGTAATATTCATCATAATGTTTATAACTGTATAGTAATTCCTCAGGTGCTATTACTGTTAGTAGATTTTCAAAAGAATCTATAACCTACATCTCATGTAAAGAGTATTTATGTGTTAGACTACCATACTCACTTGTCAGATTTCCCTCCCTCTCTTCCTTTCAGCTTTTGCCCACCACCTCTTTCCTTTAAAGCAAACAAAAATTTGGACATTATCAGTCACCTTTGCCCTGTCTCTGAATACCCCAAGTATATCAGTGTGCTTGGCACAGCCAGCACTATTTGGAATGAAAGTAGTTTCATACCAACCAAGTTAAATTGTAACCCATGCTAACCTCAGTCCAAATTCTAAAAAGACCATCAGCATTAGACAAAAAGACATCTGGTATTCCTAACCTGGGAACTGCTTCCCAGAAGAGCCTTCCAGGTATCACGGGTACTTGCAGCTTCAGACAATCAGCTTGGAGAAGCCTAATTGCAGCGCTTTATCCTCCTGGTTCCATCTAGATTGTGGCATTAAGACAACAGCAAACAAAAATTGCTGCTGAATTGAAGTGACTGGAAACAGGTAGGTGCTGAGAGGGGATATGAGATGATTGGGTAGCTTTTGTGTCTCTGCTAGATAGACAATAAAGTTGATAAGGATGGGAAAGAGACTTGACAAATTAAAATATTAATATTCTTAAAAAGGTGTTCTAAAGCAGGGAGTCAGAAAAGAAGAGTCAGAGTAGAAGCTGAAATCTGAGCTGGGCTACAGCAGATTTCTGTGAAGTTGTTTTAAAGAGGGTCTCAAGTGGGTGGAAGACTTCAGAGAAAGGTTGCCAGTTTAGGCATTTAGGAAACAGCTAAAAGTAGCACTGAAAAAGTCCATAGAGGGTAAGATAACACATGATTTTAACATTTTCTAAGGTTATTTTTTGCTTTACTTCTCCCTGTAAATAAATCTAAGATGTGGGAAAGGCAGGTGGGTAGTTAACTAAGAAGGTCATGCATGGAAATTCAAGTAATCCCTCCTGCAGCTTGTCATTGTTACAGGCATCTGCCACTCACAGGCAAGGGCCCACCCACCACCCATCCCCACTCACTGGAATGGCCTTTCTTCAAGATGAAACTCCCTCAAACATAAACCACTGAACCCATCACACTGCTGCTGCCTACAAGGCCCACACAGCAAATGGGAGTTGTGCCACAGCAGGGGTCACTCCAGGACAAGGCTTTGTCCTCCCCTCACAGAATGTGCCTTTTCACACAGCTACAGGCCCGCCCTGACAGGCCTCACTTTGCTCACCATCGCCACAGAAAGTGTTTGCTCACCATACCTTGCCTCACAATCCCATCACCCCTACACAAGGCTCATCCTAAACACATCCCCAGTCCTTTCTTGAGAGCTCCTGTCCTGCTTAGTTGTCGTGACTGCTTTCCAAGCAGCCACTTTCCCCAAGACTGCTCCAAACACGAGGCACTTGGCTCATGGTTGAGGTCCCCCCACATAACAGGCCCACCAAAACACGAGGCATCAGCCCATGAATAGCATCAGCGCACTCTCCTGCCACCCCCGCCACCCTCACACCATATGGAAGCGGCACATTTGCGTGTGCCAGTCCTACAGAAGGCTGTCCTTTCCCAACAACTCACTGCTCACAAGACCACAAGCTTGCCTCAGTTCCTTAGCCTGTGGACCTATGCTGCCTCAGTACAATTCACCCTGACACCTACAAGGCATCTGCTCCTTCTGGACAAATCCATTCATCGTTCCCTGCCACACACCCGCCCCTGATCCCTATTCCATAGCCTGCAACCCCACCCAAATTCTTACATAAGGTGCTTTGCTGGTAAATACCATCTGCTGTGCACCCTTCCTGTGGAGGGCTTGTACTGCTCTGCACCCTTCCTGAGACAATTCTCCTGACATCATCCAGTGAGGGCTTTCTCCACAAGCCCACAAACCTGTTCCAGAGGAGACCCTCAGCCTCTGAACACTGCTGCAGTCACACTCCTGGTCCCACTGCAAGTGGGAACTGCTCACAAACGTGAGTCACTGTTGGGCAAGGCTGCACTGCTCACTAGCAGTTTGCTTCTCACAGGAGCGCAAGCCTGCCCAAAAGCAATTCCCTCCCTCAGGAATACCAGCCTAGAGTCTTCCCACCCATGGCACCCACTGGTGCCAATCCTAAAGGAGGATTCTGCCCATCCCCACTGGACATACCTCTGCTGCACAAGGCCTTCTCTCTCCATTCCATCTTCTTATTTCTCTAACTCCCCAGTTTACTCCAGTTGTGAATTATGAGCAGCCTAAAATTGTTGCAGTTGCAAGGTAATTCTAACTTTAAAAAGCACAAGTAGTGATAAAAGCATTTATTCTTGGCTCTTCTTGGGGTGCTAATCATTAATGCTTAATGTTTCACACTTGCCTCTTAAAAAATTTTAATACAGAGTGGAATGAGTAGATCCTTGATGACTATAAATAGGTATGATGATAGCTTTAAAAAACAATCAAGTAAAGGCTTGGTTTGAAGAGTATTTTAACTTAATTTCTAGGAAAGTTCCAACACTGGTTTGTTTCATATTCTTTTTCCTCTCGTCAGACTTTTCATTGTTTCTTTAGCAGTAATGTGCCAAAAATAAACATTGGTTTCTATTAGAAAGCAATAGTTTTCTAACCTTTATAATTTTTTAAAAATAATTAATCTAGTAGTTATATGAACTGCTAAGATATTGAGAGGATGAAACATGGAGAAAGCATATAGATATTATTTGAGATAAAGAGCAACACCGATTTCTACAACCTGACTGTATCCTTTATTTTCTGCAAAAGGAGGGAAGTGAGCTTTTGTTATCTTTGAGAATAGTGGAACACCTTAAACCCTAAAGAAACTGAATTTCTCAGTAAGAACTTAATGGGTGTTTCTACAGTGTTACAATAAAACACCTGTTACAGTCTACCATAAAGCAGAGCATTTAACTTGGCAAAATTTGTTCCCTGTGGAAAAGAGTCCAACTGTTTGCTGTAATGTCCACCCAATAGCACACAAGCTTTGGAGCCCCAATAGCTATAAAATCTTGTTTTAAAACCACAAAAACTCTGGACCTTGGGGCTGAATTGTAGACATGATTAAAAATCCTGTTCTTCCTAAAAGTTAATTCTGTAGTGTGGACGAGGTGGGCTTGCTTCTGCCCAGTTTCCTTCTGCTTCAAGATTTTTAAAATTACGTGGATGAGTGATTTTTACCTTGTTTCTGTTAACCACACCTTTCTAATTACATTGCTGATGAGACTGAATAGTGTCTTATTTTTTCCTGAAAGGAGAAAAGCTTTATGAATGAAATTTAAATGCATATTATAGTAAGCTTTTAATTTGTGGCCCTGGTATATTGCCACCTAGTTAATTTTAATATGTTTTATTTAAGTCACTCACTGAGAAATGATTTCTGTGGGTTTTCATTTCAGCAGTGAATGGAATTAGTGATAGAAGCCTTGAGTTGGGTTGAGAACATAGTCAAGATGCTTTTTCTTTAAAAATACTGGCAAAACAAACAAGTGTTGTATGCTTACTACTGAGGAGAAGAACAGCTTCAGTATCTCTCCTAGTCTTTTTTCAAGCCTTTTATTGCTTTCATAATATTGGATTAAGGAAAGCAGAGTCAACTAAAATAACATTAATTGTATGTTTACCAAAATACAGTAATTCAAATACAAAAACCATGTTGCACGGAACTAGACCAGACTTCAAACTAATAAAAACTTAGTGTAGAAAAAAAAACACTGTAATATGTCAAGAAATTGTCAGAATAAGAACTACAGTTGCCTTCCCCCTGGATAAAGCACCTATAGATGAAGTTTCATTTTGGTACCATGAATTATTGTATTTTCTATGACAAGTGTGCTTTAAAACCTAGCTGATTAATGCTGGTAGACAGCTTTTTGGTACCTGTGGCTCCTGAGCTTTTGAGACAAGTGACAGAAAACTAGCAGAACACTACCTTTTTCTGCTGTGGCAAGTTAGTGAAAACGCAAACTTTACTTGGCTCATAAATTAATGTAGAAGTTAGCCACACAATTGATCTCAATGTAACCCCTCTGCCTCGTGCTGCTGGGCAAGGCACAGGAATCAGTGTAACCCATTTATTATGAAGCAGCTGAATCCTTGTAGAGCGGAATATGGGCTGGAGTTATTTGCACAGTTTTATTGGCTCAAATCTAGAGGGGAGTTTGCTTTTTATGGAAAGTATATCAACTTTGGCGGAGGAACAGAACTTGAATTTCTTCAGAGAGTCTTACATCTTTAATATTTTCATTTTTGGGGAGAAACAGTGAACTGTTTCAGTGAAGACTTTGAAGTGCGATGTATGTGTAAAAATATCAAGCCAGCCAAACACCAACTAGACGCCAAAATAAATTATAGTTACAAGTGCATTTACTACAAGTAGTGTAAAAGTGGCTTTTCAAAAGTCAACTGATAAATAAAAGGCCTCTGTTACAGCACTCAGTAAGTATTTTCAGTTATTGCGGCATGTGTGTGGCTTAATTGAAGTGAAACTAACTCTTCACTAGACTGTTTCAGTCATACTGCTGTAACAAAGGTAGTCAGCTGCCTGCTTTGGACTTCTTGGGGGTACCGTGCTGGAGTAATGATTGTCTTGGTGCAACCTAAATGAGGATTGGAGTCAGTACGGTTTAAAACGACAATGGTAAAATAATTTCTCATTAGATGTGATAGGACAAAAAGTTACTCTTAGAATCTGCCATAGTATCTGCTGACAGGTAAAGATGAAGCACACTTTGCACTCCTGGTCACCTCAGTCCATCTCTGTTTAATAATACAACTAAACAGTAGAAATAATTACATCTTACATACTGCCTACATTTGTCCCTTTTGAAAATCCCTTGTCTTCTAGGAACTGCCAATTTAAGAGGTTGCTGGGAAGAGAAGAGATGGGAAAATGCATCTGCTCTAAAGGTAGGAAATACAATTCCAGGTGAAAGAAATGTGAAGCATCTACTGTATCGCAACACAACCAGCCACAAACCTCAACTGATTTTCTGCCAATGTGTTCTTAACTGGGGCAACATAATTGCCTACAGGTAATCTTATCTGGTATTCCTGTAGTTGTGCACCCTGCTGTTACATCCTTGTGAACCCCAGGACATTTTGTGTCCCAAATTGACCCAAAGCTTCTTAATGATAAGGGAAAACTGATGGAACATAAGCAAAACTGAGAGTAGAGGAACTGTCAGGTCTGGTGCTAATGCTAAATGAGCTGTGAATGACAGGTAAAGATGATTCTGTTTTACTATTTACACTGTTTTACTATTGTGTAACTTTTTGTGCCAGACTCTTCCCTCCTTTTTGTCTCAGAGGCAAGAAGTTTGCAAACACTTCCAAGGCTCTGTCAAGTCTGAAGCAGGCAGTGAAGACTTTGGTGCTTTTTCTGCCCTACACAGCTGCTTGCCTTCTGCCTTACAGCACTCAGTTGTGACTGAGTGCTGTAAGTAGGGGTAAATAGGGGGATATAATGAACAGGAAGCTTGCACAATGTTATTCAAAGTGTGTCATTGTCAATATAAACTCAAATATATTTAAGGCTATCATGATTTCCTAGCAGCCTTCCAAATTGCCTGATAGACTGTGAAAGCCGTCCTCATTGTGACTTTGTACCCTGGCATATAAAATTAAATTAAAGGATGTTGTACTCTTAAGCTTTTCTAATGGAGATTTAAATCTTTGTCAGTTTTGCCTTCTACAGTGCAGCCTTGCATAGGCCCATATGTTGTACTTGATTGTGCTAATGAGCCTCACTGAGACTGGAGAAAATGTCAGTTCCCTGAGGCTGTGGACACCTCTTAGTTTTTTCTTTAATATCTCATAGTTGTGCTTTTTATTCATTCTTTGAAGTAGCTGCTCTTTTTTCTGACATTCTTCATTTCAACACAGGGGATACTAACTCTGTCTTCTGGTCAAGGCTTTGCATTCCAGCAGTGTTGAAATCTGGCTGCTAGTACATCGTGTACTTTGAGGTTGGGTCCCGTGGATAATGCACAGAAATTCTGTCTTTAGCAGCAGGGTGCTGCTTCCACTACCTGTTTACCTTTCTGAATGGTAGGTGCTATGAAAATAGATGAGAATTGTTTAGAAGGGCTTGCCATTTAAGAGCTTCACAACTCAGCATTTGATAGTCTAAGGGTACACAAAATCAAATTTATTCATGGAAATGAGCTTGCAAGTGATGGCTACAGCAGCAAAAGGAGGTAAGAAATTTTCCATTACAAATGAGTCACAGATAAATCTGTCTGTTCTTGAAGCCCAACTGCCCCTCCTGGCTCTGGGAGTGCCCAGATCTGCAAGCAGGGCTAGTTCTATGCAGAATTGAGTCTGCTGCAGGACTACTGCCTCAGATAAAAACAAGTGGTCAGCAGCTTTGAGCCTGTTAACACAATAACCGGTACTTTCCAAGTGTCCTTCAGGTAGCATGTAACATTTTTCAAGGATAAAAATTATAGTGCTCACAATATATTGACTCTGGAATATTTGTATGGAATATTGACTCTGCTGAATATTTGTAACATTTATTTGATCAGTGTTTGTCTCTACTCAGTAACCGGCTAACTTGTGATAAGTTTTGCTTTTACTGGAAGCAATTGGATTTTTTAACAGTCAGAGCTTTTAGAATCATATGAAGTGTGACAGTCTTGCTTTCTATCTTGAAAAAGAATTCCTAGCTCATGAAAATATAAACCCAAGTGCACTGTAAAGGTGGTGCAAAGATTGGGGTTATTGCACACTCATTATTAACTCGACCTACTTGGCAAAGGAAAGTGGCTGATCTTTGTTTTTAATGTTTTTTTAATTAAATAATGCAAGAAAAATTAGTAATGGCACATGTTTGTTGTTTTTGTAGTGCTTTTCTTGTGACTTGAGACATGTTTGCTGTGTGCTTCCAGGATCAGTTATGATTACAGCCTTGTCTTCACTTCCTCATGCTGTCCTCCAAAACATTGCTTTAAAAAAACAGAAATGAACCCACTTTACATTAAACCTTTTAGATTCATTTTCTCAAGGCATCTGTAAGAAATTATACTGTTCCTGTTGAAGGGAACTTCATGAGGAAGACTGATATAACTTACCAGAAGTCACTTAGAAGCCAGTTTAAGGTATTTGCAAACTGGTATATATCTGTCATGTCTAAAGAATAACTGTGCCAAAACTTCTACCATATATGAAACTGCTTGAAAAGTGCCTCTAACTAGAATAGTGAAAAGTAGAAGTGCACTGAGATTAAGATACAAGCTCTTTCTATATGAAGGTTTATTGGAGGGCTTGTATAGATAAAACTCTTCTTTTGTCCTGATGTTTTATCTCTGTAATGAAACTAATGATTCTAAATTTTCTTCTGGTTCTATAGATGCTGATGTTATTTGAGCTATACATTTTAATTTCCCTCAATGTGCTTGCCTTGGAATTATGTGTTTTATCACTGGCAAAGATTCCACTTCGTATTCTCCACTGCAACTTTCTCTTACTCAATTGAAATGAAAGTGTGTATGTGATCTGGCAAACACAGACTTAGAATGCTAAGTCTAATCCCCCTTTCCCTCTGAGTGCTGATTGAATTTAGTCTTAGTGAATTAAACTGCTGCTAGATTTCAGTTCAGTTACTTTTAATCCTGGTGGGTGGTTAGAATGTGCCCAGATATTGTCAGTGCCCTGCAGTTGGGCAAATGTAGCCAAACATTTCAACAGGTGATGGTTTACCTATTGCAGTCGTACTATAACTCTGCTATATGTAAATACATAAGGAAAACTTCAGTTATGAAGATTTCTTTAAATAGTTGAATGTAATTTGTAGCTGGATAAAATGCTTTGTTTAATCTTACAAAGGCCATGAAGTGGACAAGTTCATTCCTGCATTTCATATTTTCTAGTGCAGCAAAAGTAAAGGTGTCAATATTATTTGCAAAATGTATACTAAAAATAGGCATTGGGTCATTTATTTTCAAAAATAGAGACACTGAAAGATTTTGAAAAGCCTCAGTCTCCCTTTCAAATTTAAAGTTAACAAGGAGAGAACTTCAGATGTTGGGTACTCCAGCAGGATTAAACTGTCCTTGTACCTTTCACCTTCATGCTGGAAATCCTTGAAAATAATTTCCAAGCTGGTTGCAAAATGGGATTTACTTCAATATAGGCATCTAAATTCAGAAAAGTGTTTCTGGGAGCCAGAGCTGTTACTCAATCTTCAGTTAACCTTGGGGAACTGGGATTTGTTAGCCTGGGGATTATAAAGTGGAGGGGTAAAGAGTTAAAAAAGGATATCATATGGCTTTTGTGCATACTGAGATAGCATTGTAGTTTTGACAAGTCTCAGCATATTAACACCTGTTCATACCAAAACCCAAAGAGGATTCATAAATCCTTGCTCTGCTTGGAAGCTGGCTCTGGCACCTCTCCTCAGAAAGCATTCCTCACACTACTTCCTGGTTGAGTTTCTCAACAGTCCATTGTCTTCCCCAGGGAAGGTGCATAAAGGTGCCTTTACGGGATGGTCTGGTGCTAAGAATTTACCTAGTGCATGTGAGTTGAGGATTTTCTCCCTCTTATGTGAGTAGCTCTCAACCATGTTTCCCACTTCACTTGTATATAACTAACAGGCTGTAAGCTAGTTTGGCTGCTTGGTGAAAACTCTTTACTTACTGAGCTGAAAAAATGTTTCAAAGGAAGAAAACAGGGTATTGGTACAGGATACCTGGTTTGAGGCCAGGTTCCTACTCCACTTGTTTGCACCACACAATGAGGTATCACTGACATTTTTGTCATAGCTACGGTAGCAAGAACAAGCCCTTAAAAAGCATATTAATAACTATTGCACATATGAAGATGAGATTGTTAATTTTCATTTGTTTTACACGCTTTGCTCAGGTGACAGTAATAATGTGTTGTTAGCTTTAAAGGGCTTTTTGGGTTTTGTTTAAAAGAACATCTGAGAAGTCTGTGCCACAATATTTGAGGGTTTAAGTAGTAGAATTCTCATTCTCTTTAAATAGATACAATATACTGATTTTTAATATGCTGATATATTGTTCTCATTGGTGAGCATTCACTATGTATTGTGACATGAGGAGAATGATAATCTTTGCTGTTAAAAGATCTGTATGAAAGTTTTTCAGTATCAGGAAACATCCTGGTTTTTCTCTCAAAAACTGAGATTAGTAGATACATATTATGTGCATGCCATTGGTTAACTTGTGTTGTTAATTTCATTTAGTCTTGTAAAATCAAAAATAGATGCAAGAATGCTATTCTTGTTTAAGTGATGCAATTCATAATACCCTTCTAAGATGGATTAGGTAACCTTATTTAACTCTATCCTTTAGAGGTCTTTAATAACCTTAACATATCTGTCATTCCCATCTGTTTTAATTTAAGGCTGATTAGGCTAACATGCTTTAAAACTCTAAACCACCTGACCATTCAATATTGTTTTAAGCAGATACAGCTTACAGTATTTTCAGAATATAAACACAAAGCTTGCTATTGTGAAGCAATTAATTTTATTAGGCTTGTCCTTGTTTAGTCTACATGTAAGCTTGGAAAGCTACTAACCTTTTTTGAGAAGCTTTTATTGGTTTGGAATTTCCCCTCCCCCAAGCAAGCTCTGCTAACCTGCTACTGCTCCTGTAACTGTCAGTTTTCTCAATGTGTCCCCTGGGAAATAAATGAGCCCAGCTGAGGGTTAAGGTGTGAGCAGTGAGCTCAGCAGCCATCCAGTCAGATGGGTAGAGAGGTAAAGGCTTCCTAACAAGTAAAAGGTTTGATTAGGGCTATTTGCTGTGCATGAAGGCAACATAAATGCTGTAGATGCCTTATGGAGTAGTAAAGGCTGCCATGCAGGCCAGAGAAGAAAGGGCAACAGTGGAAGGGTACAGGCATGTGATGCATTATAACCCTGCACACTATCTGGC